GAACCATATCCACAATGAGGGTTTCTTGTGCCGCTGTAAATATGGCAACCCTCCCACCTCTATGTGGCATTCTTTCAACTCTAAAGAAAGAAACATGTGTTGTCAATTGACATGTGTTACAATACAGTCACAACTGATTTGAAACCAATAGACTACTTTCACAGGTTTGTAAAACTGTATTGTGACAAAGAAAGCAATTGAGTTCAATACCTGTTGTGTTGTCTGAATGCCCTGATAATGGTGGCCATGGTGAACCTACTCAGGTTTGGACGGACTCTTAGTCCTGCTTCAGCCATTGTCATGCCATGGACAATGACATGGTCAATGACTGTTGCTCGCATCTCGTCCGTAATGATGGTGCAAGGTTGTCTTGCTCTCCCTCTCGGACCTTCTCCTCTCCCATGTTGGCCGCCTCCTCTTCCTCGTTGGCCTGCTCCTCTTCCTCCTCTCATTTGAACTCCTCCTCCTCGTTGGCCTGCTCCTCTTCTTCCAGGGCCAGCTCTTCTCCCTCCTCTGCATCGAATTCCTCTTCCCTGACTCTGCCTTCATCCATTGTGTTTGTTTGGAATCTGCAGTATTCTGTGCACTCTGAACTTTTATACATGTGGTCACAGCATTAGCAACAGGTGTCTTCAATTTTGAGTCGTTGTGTGTAATGAATGACGCCAGGTGTGTTCATTGTGTTCAAATATTGCTGACTGTGGCAAGCATGTTGCATCACATGAGCTTTCATTTGAGAATATGAGCAGAGTTCTTTTGCAACTTGTGTTTTAGCAAGAAAGGATGTGTTTAGATTTATGACAATGGAGGATTGTGTTCTGTGAATTGTGTCTTCATGTAACATGTGTTTATGATATTGGTAAATGATGGCTAGATTTAGTAAATGTGTTTAGACAACTGGTCATTTGGTTTAGAGGATTGGCTTTTGTGTTTTAGCATTTGAGAAAAACTGTAACAGTGTAGAGCTCCACACGTTTGATTTGGCAGATTTTTACACCGGATACCCTTCCTGACGCAACTCCAAAGTTATTTGTGTCACCTCCTGGGAGTGAAGCATGGACTATTCAGTTGTTAGGCCAAAGTGTAAAGCGCTACACTGCGGAGCGGCGAAGATGTGTGATCGATAGAAGCCTGATAAGCATTTTGTTTGCTTAGGTTACAGTGGAGGGCGTTACTGTTGCACCAAGGAAAATGCAAACACACAGCAGATGTGTTTCACATGCTTACAGTGCTCAGTTTTTCTCATGAATTGCTTTCAGAGTTGAAGCATATGGCTTTAAGCGTCCATGTAACAAAGCTATACTGATATTATACTGCAAGTCAACTAAGCCTGTTACTACAAATTCACTGCTTATGATAATAGTTCAGTTAGTTTAATTATTCTGGTTGAATACACACTAGTACAATGTGTAACCTGGGTTAGCCTTACGCACCCAAATAACAAGAGCGAATTGAATAGCTGAAAACAGATGGACAAACGTCTAAAGATTTCCTATATTTATTAGTAGGTATACATCATGTTTTGTACTGTTTTTGCTCATGTTCTGTAATTACCTCTCCGTGTTGGTTGCTGTTACCTGGTTATGTGGTGAGCAAAGCCACAGAATCATTTGGAAGAGATGACAAAAGCCTGCGGTTTGCTGTAAATGCCAGCGATGGTGGAAAAACGGGTTTGCAGCTTCAGTTGACCTAACCTTACCTGCTGTATCTATGATGTTAACTTTGAGTTAGTAAATAAAGTTTTCATTTGTAAACTGTGATAGTGATAAACTGCTCATTTATAGATGTTGAGATTTTTTAACAATGCAAAAACAGATTAGTGCAGGAAGACGGTGCCTGCTGCTTTAAGTTACAATTGAAACCTGATTGGAGAAACATGCCTCCCTTTGACACCTATTAGATAAGTTACTGCTAGAATCTAGTATTTCATGGGAGAAGCTTTTTGAATGAGAATCGATTTGAGCCAAAAATTTTATTTCTTCTTCATTCTTTTTTTTTTTTTTGAGGCACGTATACATTACTTTCGTCATCTTTTATGTACAGTCCATGTGAATGCCTTTTGAGTTTTTAAATCCAGTTGTAAATCCATCGTTCTATGGCCCTGGTTTTTCCTTGTTTCTGACGAGTTGAATTTCGCTCCAGAGGGACTGGCACAGGATGCTGCCTGATGACTGTATTTAATGTTTGTTGGCTTTCAGGAAGTGCCAGTGCACCCCACTAGGGACCGGTTTGAGCAATTTGAGCAGCTTGACTGATTTAGGAGGGGGAGGGGGGAAATGAAGGGCTGTTCTCGGGGTGTTTTTGTTTAAGAAGACGGGCAAATGGAGAGGCAACAAATGGCACCCACTGGATGGTCTCTCTGCCCAGTGCAAGTGTTTGGTTGCCCCAGCAGTGCAGTTTAGATTAGACTCAAGTCATTGTTCCATGACTTCCTTTGTGCTTTCCGTTTCTTCCCTCTGATAGGTTACCATGGCAATACTGTAACTGTCAGACACTCAATGCCGGTCCAAGTCGAGCGAGTCTTGTGCACACTTAACCTCTTGTAAGAAATGTAACCAGTTTAAAAAGTAATTCAGAATTTAAAATCCTTTAGTGACAGTCAGTGTAACTAGTTGCTCTTAAACAAAGCTTAATATGCTGCAAGGAATTGTGTAGAAATGGCCTAAAATGAGACTGTGATACATCATCCATGGTCCCAAAACCTGATGTTAAAGTAAAAGGTAAGTAGGTCTAAGGGGGCTTATTAACAGTTATGTGTTTGTTTTGTTGTTAAATAGAAAAGTATCTGTTTCTACTCGACTCCTTTGAAATTTGACTGAAGTGTTCTCTTTGTTTGCCCACAGGTAAAGCGTTTGTTCCTAAGCAAAAGCCAATAGAAACACGTAAGGAGGAGGTCACGACCCTTGATCCAGAATTGGAGGAAGCGCTCTCCAGTGCCACAGATACGGAGCTGTGTGATCTCGCAGGTAAGAATGAGAAAATGCCTCAGAGTCTTTGTAGAAAGGCTTCAAAAACACAAGTGTTTAAGTGGGTGTGATTGAAGAGAAGGCTTTACACATACACACACAGTATTGTAGTGGTGGGAACTTTCTCTGGGCCCAGTCTGTGCTGGGACAATAAAACACAAGCTCTTTTCACTCCTTTACTGTGTGTCTTGATGGGGGAATAAAAAGGCTCATTGAGCAAAATCACACCAGTGGCCTGCTATGCCCTTTAAAATTGGTTACTTTTGTCCACACTGGAGAACATACATGTATCCATGTATGTTCTGGTCTGTGGTCTTCGCTTCAGTCACTGAAAATACCATCTGCTTTTGTTCGCAGCAATCCTGGGTGTTCACACACTGGTTACCAGTAGTCAGACATATGATGGAACAGGAAGTAAAGAGGGTTACAACAGTGAGTATTAAAAGTAATTTATCCCAGTTAACTCAAGTATTCGGAAGAGGAAAATCTGCTGACCTACACTTGCGTTTGTGTCTTAGATGTGGTAAAAGGGGAGAAGATGAACCCAGTGTTCGATGAGCCTCCCAATCCCACTAATGTAGAAGACACTCTGCAGAGGGTGAAAAGCAATGACAGCACCTTAACAGAGGTCAACCTTAACAACATTAAGGTATGTAGAAACGTGCGTGTATGTATATGCTGGTCAGTCCCCGGACCAATGGCAGTGTCTTTGTCTGCTTTTCCAGAACATTCCGATTCCCACGCTGAAGGACTTCGCCAAATCCATGGAGAAGAACACGCACGTGAAGAAGTTCAGCCTGGCAGCCACGCGGAGTAACGACCCAGTCGCTGTGGTGAGTGGTTGATATGCTTCTCGTGGCTTTTGCAGACACCTGAGACTCCACACTCACATCTTTGCCTTCTTCCTCCCAGGCGTTCAGCGACATGCTGCGGGAAAACAAAACATTGCGAAGTTTGAATTTGGAGTCCAACTTCATCACCGGGGCAGGAGTGCAGGCTTTGGTTGATGCATTGCGAGACAATGACGCGCTCACAGAGATCAAAATAGACAACCAGGTACAGTAACAATTAGCTCAGAATTTCCAGTAATGGAAAAGGAGGAAGGGGAAATTTCACACCTGTAATTTTGGTTTAGCTGAACAAGCTGTTGTTTTTTTTCTCTAATGCACTGTATCTATTTGTGCGTACTGTAGAGACAACAGCTGGGTACTACCGTAGAAATGGAGATTGCTAAAATGTTGGAAGAGAACAAGAGCATAGTGAAATTTGGCTACCACTTCACCCAGCAAGGGCCCCGATCCAGAGCTGCCGCAGCTATCACCAAGAACAACGACCTGGGTATGAACGCAGCACGCACAGACTCGACACTCTGAGATTTGTTTAAACTCGCAAAAGTCGGGCGAGCCGTTTCCGCTCCCCCCCTGCCTTCCTCTAGTCATCTGTTTTATGGGAGTGTGATGACATAGTTGAAACATCTGTTCAATATCTCACTCCGCAGTGACGACCTCTGCTCTCTCTTTTAGCTCCTCCTCCAGACAGAGTCGTGGTAGCACAGGTGTGATGCATGGGTGTGGCTCCCACGTGTGTCAGTGCATCAGTGATAACGGAGATTAGTTTCACAGTATTTGAATGGAGCGTTCACCATATTAACCGTGTGAACATTGACACTGCGTGATATGCAGCTTTGAGAGTGACGACATCTCACTTCTTGTTTTCTGCACATGCTGACACACACTGTATAAATAGGTGTACATTTTAACCACACAGCTCATGATGACTCACTCAGCGTCTTCATGATGAACTAACAAGCCTGCGTAGGGTTAAGATTGTGTAGCATGTTTACAGTTGGTTTTATTCGTGTGTTCTTTAACTCTTTCACCTCTCGTTTTATTGTGCTTTTCCTCTCCAGTTCGCAAGAGGCGAGTGGAAGGGGATGTGTAGGGACGCCACGACACCCGTCTCCCAGCCAATCCTGTTTTTCATCTCATTGTGTGGAATAATTTCAGCCAATGCCCTGGTCTTTCTCATCTCACTGTGTGGAAACTTTAGTCTTGTGCCAAACTGCGGGGCAAGGCATGCTAAACCTGAACATACATCTGAGAAGAAGGGAAATAACTGGAATTGCCCTCTCCCGTACACATGTTCATACTTATATGTTTATTGTTATGTTGTTATTGAAGCTGTAAATCTTAGTTTTTAGTCATTCATTTCAGCTGCTCCCCCTTTTTTTGAGCCTTTACATTCTTTCCCCACTTTTTACTTGCTTTGTTTCCCTTTTTTACAATTCTACAATTATGTGAGCTACCAACATTACCAAGTACCAACAACAACATCAATAACAGCTCTATAAAGATGGTAACAAACGGTAACCTTTGTGTCCTGATAGCTTGCTATTGAGACTGAAGCTTCTTGTGGAATTCCTGTATTGATTAAGCACTCATTAGAGCGATGCAGAGAGCTCTGAAGTTTAGTGATGATCTGCTAGAGACACAGTGGTTATTGCTTGGAGATAAATACCAGACTGCTGACCTGAATGCCTGACTATACAGCTGAATGTTAGCATTGTAAAAACAAGGGCTGTTGTGCAGTGTTGTGCAGTGCGCTTGGCAACAGTTTACATGAGCAGGTGTTGTTTATTAGAGCTGCCTTGTAAAGCCAGAAGTACTGCTGAGTTGGAGTGGCTAACAAGGCGTGCAAAAAGTGCACCAGGTCTCTTAGCCAGTGCTGGTACTGTACTGTCAGCCTAACTCAGACTGTATATCAAAGATGGATATAGCCACTGCAACATTACCTATTGTTTTATGCATTCTCATATTTTTTAAAACCTGAAAACTGGCTAGTCACAAGGAGGGTCCACCTTAAGTTGTATTTTTATTTTATATTCATTTTTGATGCAAATTGACTAAATAAAAATGGTGTTTTATTAAATAGGATGTTAACATAGCCATTGAGGCCACAAACTTCAGCTCCCGTAGGCACTAGGGTCATTTTCCTCATAGGCTTCTATGTAATCAGATGTTTTTGAAAACAGAGGGGTCGCCCCCTGCTGGTCATTAAAAAGGATGCACGTTTAGGGTTCTTTCTTCACTGTGTCCATCTACATGTACAGTCTATGGTTTGATTTGAAACACCCTGCAGTAGCTGTTGGCTCGCCCCTCGTGTAAAATGTATACTTTATCAGTGCGATATTGCTTTACTGTTTTATTCTATGATCTTGTTTTGATATGGTTCAGTTTCTGTTGCTAGTTTTTGTGATCACTTTATTTTCTTGACAGGAAGTTCTAACTGTTTTGATATTTTGGAGTAAGCAAAGCTGCGGTTGTGCTGTAAATGGACCGTGATATTATTGCCAGTCATGGCTATTAAGGCCTTGACCTGCTCCTACAGATGTCTGCTTAACATACTTGGTTTCACTGATGCTTAACCATGCCAAAGACTAACACATGCAGTGCTTAAAGTATCAATAGTAGACATAATGGTTACTGGCTCAGGTTTGGCTTTGTGACAGAGAGATTTACATCATGCCGTACAATGTTTTTACTTTTTTTTTTTTTTTTATGTGTGATGTTCACAGCGGCATCTTCTTCGAGCAGTCCAATGAGGTGCGAGGAAGGTTTAGCAAAAGGTTTGCACAAAACTTTCTACTTTGACTTCTCAGGTTGCGACTGCTCGTGAAATGTTTCTTTGAACTACATCTCACTTTTAACTTTCCACTCAAACTTCCACGTTCTCAGCAGTAAGATGTCACTTATGAAATATTAGATGACACCACGCTGTGCGCGCATCAAGTAGACTTTCTTTAGCTCGAGATGGTTATAACAGGACTAATTCAGGAGTTACTTGAAACTTGTATATACTGTTTATGTGTAATAGGAACAATATCCTGGCATGAAGTCATCACCTGTGAACATCATGTTTCTGTTGACCAAAAATGTTGTCATCAGCCTCACATTCCTCACAAGAGTTGTACTGTTTTTATATCCATGCACTTTTTCCATGAGCATATCTGCTTCTTTTTTCCATTACTGTTTTTTTTCTCTTCCTGGTGGACACTCTGCTAAAGGAGAAAACTGCTTCCTTGCTTGAGCTTGTTAATAATACTCTGATTCATAAAAGCTATATTAATTATAAAAAATGCCATCTCAAATTCAAAGTGTGCACGTACACATAATGTTATATGTGCACCACGTGAACCTACTAAAGTCACTGCTGAGATTTTTTTTTTGTACCTTAAATCAAAACCCAGGTGTTAATGCAAGGATTCTGTATTATAAGAAAACCACAAGACTGGTAAAACGCACTGCTGAATATAAAACAACTTCAATAATAAATGTTTTTACATAATTTGTCTGTTCTGGGGGGTTTTGTTGTTGTTTTTTCCTCAGCATTAATTACAAAACATTTGCACAACATTTAGATCATTCAGATCATCAAATTGGACTTTATTTTATCTGACAGATTTCAGAGTCCGTTTCTCTGTCAAGCGCTGAAGATTTGTTTAAAAAAAAGAGGTAACTCAAAGGTGGAGGTTAACTAACCTTGTGTAGAACAACCAGCTTGGAGATAGAGATTATATTTCACCTTAGTCATCAGAATTTGATCAGGTGTGCAATCCTGTGATATTAAATTTCTCTTAGTCAAAGGACTAGTCAATTTCAGTCTCATTACCCTTTATGTCTAAATCTTTATGACATGTAGTAAAAATGCACTAATCCCTTTCTTGAAAAAATAAAGTGTTATCAGATGCTGAAGATTTAGCGGAATTAATTAATACAAAATCAGTGCTCTGGTGTTAGGAGGTTAATATCTCTCATTATTTTGTTTAGCATCTCTTCTATAGCAAAACTACCTCATCTTTTCTTTACTTTCTGTCAGTATCTACAGTATTTCCTTTATATTATTGTTCCAAATGTGTATAAATGTTCAGAGTTTTGTCATTACAGATCTATATTTTGGGACTTTAAAATATCAAATTGGGACTGCATCATAAAAGGAAAACATTGGATAATATGTAAATTATAGCTTATTAATGTGTACAGTCCCTGTTATGTAATCTTTCAAATAAAATGAATATTATAAAAGAAATTTACCTTGTTGCACTATATTAAATGTAAAAATATAGTGTAAACTGTGGAAGAGAGTCAGATATGAATGATAACTACGTAGTGGTGTATAGTGAGTAAGGAAGGAAGGAACCGCCTGAAAGAGCAGCTTCAGCAGAGGGACGGCGAATTCCAGTCTGTCTGCCGAGCTTGCACAGCTTCAGAAACACGAGAAACCACAATTTGTGTGCACTCTGCCTAAGAGTACACTGGACAACCTTATTCAGGTTAGGAAAGCCTTCCTAAACACTGTGTCTGAAAATCAACTTTTAAAAGAGGATGTAAAGACGGCCAGACAGCAAATCAAACAGCTTATGGCCCAAATTTCACTGATGCGCACCAAGCTGGACCAGTGTGAGATCCAAGCTGGAGAACTCACTGACAACTCCGTGTCACGCAAAGAGGAACAGACTTGTTCAGATCAGGAAAAGACCAGAAACTTTGACCTTGAGATGAACCGTCTGAAAGAGCAGCTTCAGCAGAGGGACAGCGAAATCCTGATCCTGAAACAGGAGAAGGACAGTCTGTCTGCTGAGCTCGCAAAGCTTCAGAATAGGGATGCAACGATACCAATTTTTTCAAACCGATACGAAACCGATACTTGGATCTGAGTACTTGCTGATACAGAGTACAAAAACCGATACTTCTACCACACACACACACACACACACACAAATGCAATGAATTGGAAGACAGGTTTTATTTTATTCTCTGCCGATAA